AACAACTATATTAATGGTATGTATAACCAAAGAAAGAAAAAAAATTATTAAATAAAAATCAATGGATAAAGAATATTGTCTTCTTATTTCTGTTATTAAACTAGCCAGGAAAGGAACAGGCCCACCCAGATGATGGACCCAGAACGTTTACTATAGACTAAGACATAGTAAAGTATTACGGGTATAATATATCAGAATTAACACAATCCAAATCACTTATTGGTATCTATAACAATAAGAGATACCAGAATTGTACGAGTATGAACCTAACTCTTCTATGAAAAACTTAGAATCATCACAGGAACTTTAACTGGGCACTGTAAACTAAAATACCACCTTACAACACTGGTTATACTTACCGACGCAAACTGTAGATTCTGTGAAGAGAATAAGAAGTCGGCCACACATATGCTGTTGGAATGCGCCTGGGAATGTAGGTATATTTCTACGGAAGAGGCAATAAAACTCTGTAAAGTAGGTTCTGTACTACTTTTTAGTAACACAACAGGGCTTAGAGACCTACTCTAAACCCAGAAGGTAGCACAATAGACCCGACAGTCGCAGTGCCACATCCTCTATATAACAATAATAATAATACTGCTATTATTAAAAAGTCTCTACAGCTTCTAACATCATCATCCATCTATCAAGCCTCATATGCATATTATTATTATTAGTATTGAAAAGAAGGGATCGTATACTGGAACCTGAAAGTTCCTTAGTCAGATTAGAGTGTTTTTTCAAGTTCGATTTCTTTAATGAAAGACAGTATAGAGCCTATCTTTCCTAGTCTTGAATCCTTATAATCCATAAAATACTCTCCTAAGTGTTTTTCCCGCTTATGCATCAGTGGCGGAAACTCCCCAAGCACATGTATGCGGTTTCACTCTCTTCTCTACAGTATCTGCAGTATCTGAGTTAAATTGAATGCCTAACTTCGTTAGGTGATTATTCATTCTACAAAAATCAACAGATTTTACTGTGGATTGATTTTCATAACAGTAAAACCACAGACAACTTATATATAGATACCCAATGTCACATATTATAAATCTCCACTAAAATTTTACCATTTTTATATATAATTGCCGTATCCATCTTAAGCTAGGAGAATGTCTAAAATCTTTGGAGTCTCATTTCTTACCGACCTGACCGAGTTGTCATCTTGCAAAAGTAGAGAGTTAGCCAAATTTATTGAATGGTCAGGTTGGTTCATCTTTACCTAATGTGGGAGTCGTGCCTTTTTGTATTGCTCCTATGCTGAATTCTAGTCTTCATATATACTTATGGTAATCTTGAGGTATTGCAACCAGCCATTATTTGAGCTCAAATGGACTTTGTGTACAAGGCCGCCACAACTCTTGACCTAACCTAATCTTCAATCAATTCTATACTGTAGATTAAATTAGATTAGATTTTAAACGTAGGGTTATTGTGACAAACCCAGTTTAGTTTTATAGACGAGTAACAGTTAAAAATGTCATTATGTCCTTTAGAGAGGTAGGCCAAGTCAAAAATTTCGTTATAAGTGGATAGGCAGTTGCTAAGTACCGAAGTCTGAATCTAGCAAGACTATCACAGTGACACAAAATTTGTTCTGCTGTCCCCGCTCCTTCGTAACAAGGTCTGCAGCTATCGTTTCTGGTAATACCTACGTTCGATAGGTGCTTTTTTACCTAGTTCTAGCTTTTAATCGATTCGGCATGAATTCTTTAGCTTATCTTTTTTATTATATCTCTATTTATTTCTTTATTATAAATCATTGAATGCATTAATTTAATAAGGAAAAAGTCAGAGAGAAAAATAACCATAAGAAATTACAAAATGGACAGACAACCCTCAAACTTTAATTCAAATCCTTATGTGGAAAATGCTTAGGAATATAAATATCCTCAGTTTTGTACGAATAAATTATGGTCAACTCGTGCAGACTGTAAGGGTCGTCATTACTCTATAGCCTAGATTAGATAGGAGAACAAAACGAAAGATTTTCTGGACTTCAACAAACCCCTAACTTATGTTTTCACTGGAGTACTAGTAGAGGACTATGCTATTATCCAGATGCTTCACCAGTGAGGTATTCCAACAACCGAATGGAGTTGCCGTAAAGCGGATAACATGTACTCTAACAATCACTTTCTATGTTTCTTCTTAGAACTGCAGACGTAGAACTGCTTCAATGTCTGGCAGACAGTTTCTTTGCTAGTCTAGCAGAGTCAGCGAAAGTAGACTTATTGGATCTCTTAAACTTTAACTGAAAAATCAAATGGCTCAAAAAATATCACTCGTGAAACCATTTTGGATACAAATGTTTATATATATCGAGTCTTTCTAGCGACTTTAAGTGCACGATAATGGACAATAGTTGTAAGTATTGATGTTTGCAAAAGTATGCTCAGGCTCCAGTTCTAGCTAGAAAGCACTATTTATCTACGACCTAAACTTCTTAAAGGCGTTGTTTATTTCAATTACGTTGTCATATGCTCAGCTCTTCTAAATAACGTTGAATTTTGCTCATATATTACTAGCTATGAAGACAATTATACTTTAGAAAGACGCTTGGCATAAGTATAAAAAAAAATTAAAAGCAAAAAAGTGCTATTTAATAGCTCTTATGTGCTATATGTCAGTCTTATATTAAATATAAGATAAAAAAGATATTAAAGTTGAACTAATTATAAATTGTAAGTGAGTTAGATATTTTTAATATACTTTATACAAAGAGTACAGAATCTTGTGCAATTGTTATAGATTTGTGAAAAATATTAAGCAATCTTCCATAGTATTAAATAATAGAGATGTTTGTACTATATAAGACCTTTGCAGATAATTTTCTGTGTATGTATATTTTAAGCTTGAGAATGCAGTGGATTAGTCAAATGAAAAATAAGATTTCTTATTTATTTTGAATTTGATTCTACTGATATAATATAGTATATTCGAAAAGACAAGTTCTGTTATGCTTTGTTTTCACTATGTCATTTTAAGTGACAATTATAATTGACTGGTGTGTCAAATACGTTTTTATTACATGACAAGAACGTGAATATGACATCATATGACTACTCGTTTTCATTACACTGACAATATTTGACATTGAAAATGACATGAATATGAAAAGGAGCATTCGACTTATGACCTATACGACTTCGGCTTTTTGTAATGAGTGCTTAGAAGTATTATAATGTTTGTTTGATGATTTATTTGATTTCAACACAAGTCTAAGGTTTTTAGAAGAATAAATTTCACTTTTTAACTAAACAATTCAAATAAGGATAGTATTATATAGTAACCGAAGGATAACGGACAGAGGACTAAGTGCAAACTTTTCTTATTGTGTTGTTACTCTCACGATTTCACAATACAAATTTCAAATAATTTATAAATTTGTAATATAAAATTTTATTTACAATAACGATAAATTTATACGTCTGGATTATATTTTTAGATCCTTATGATATTTTATATTTAGAGTATAAAATGTTATTCATTTTGTCATTAAATTATATTCAATAATATGTTAATTAAAATAATAAACAGAAGTAAATTAACTTAATTAATTAATTTCGTTTGCATTTTGTCAAAACATAAATTTTAAAATATAACGCGGCATTTTTTTTTACAATTTATATGCTTGCCAAAAGGGTTTGTGCACTGACTAGCAATAATTATCAAACTGTGACAACTCTCCAAATTTAAATTAAAATGCTATATTTTTCGTCTTTTGATCGTTTAATAAAACAAATCGTTTGCATTTCAACAATAATATTAACAATTATTAGTATTATTACCAATTCGTTTCAATGGAAGAAATGTGTCGTTCCAAACAATTCCATATTGAACGAGCCCAAGCAAATATTTATAATGAACGAGAGAATAAAAGAAACAATGAAAATGTGTAGAGTTCTTACAGTTTCGTAACGACTGGTAGTCAGTGCACAAACCCTCTTAATGCATACATTATGAAGAGCTTCAAAATTTAAAATTTCCGTTTTAAATTTCCAATTTAATTTTGCTGTATTTTGTCAATAGCACAGCACCTGCAAGAACAAGATTAGTCTCTTACTTACTAATACTATGTTTAGACTGTCAAATTTCCTCAATTTCGTAAAAATAAAATTAAGTTAATTTCGAAAGTGTTCACACTGCCCCAAGTTAAGGAAATCATATGTTTTTTGTTTACAAATCAAATGTTAAAGATTACATGCTCCAAACACCATTTTATCTGAGATATTTTAAAAATTGTTTATTATAATTATAAAGGATGGCATTCAGTAGTTTTATTAGCTTTAGTGGATTTTCACTCCATTTTAAATTAATAACAGTTACAATTTTTTCTTAATATTCAAATTTAAAAATTTACACTTGTTTCAAAGTATTTTCCCGGTTTTATTAAAGTCAATTATCACTAACATTTATTTTAAAAAAATGTGATTTTTTCGTTATCATAACTTTATCATTTGCTTAAAATTTATATTAGGCATAGTTGCATTTGAAATGATATCAGTCTTTGTTCCAACGAAATTAAGGCCATTTTCCTTAATTTCATTCTAACCTCAAAACTGAATTTTGTATACAAAAATTAACTTAATTTCACTGAAACGAAGATGAAATTAATATTTGCTAAATTAAGGTGTGTCTGAACCTAGTATTCTTTCCAACGAAATTAAGGCCATTTTCCTTAATTTCATTCTAACCCCAAAACTGAATTTTGTATGCAAAAAATAACTTAATTTCGCTGAAACGAAGATGAAATTAAGATATTTGCTAAATTAAGGTGTGTCTGAACCTAGTATTATGAATAAATTAGCATATTGTATTGTGTTTGTCTGACCGTCCGTCCGTTCAACTCTCATAAATGTCACATTTTATTAAGCTTTATTGTGAATCGAAAGAAAAAGGAAATTAATTCCATTCACAATAAATAATAATTCGCAATATAATAAATAAATTTTGACAGCCGATTTTGACGTTCGTCTGTTTCGCTATGCATTTCACCACAACAAAACACATTCTTTGTGTTCACTAGTTGCATTGCAATCGGTGGTCAGCAGCTGTTCAATTTGCCGATATTGCATTTGAGTGTATATGAGTAATGGTTGTTCAAATATAAAAAGTGTAAAAATTGATTTGCAACATTAAAGGTATTTGATTTTTACAGTTAAGAAAACTTTAAAAACTATTTCAAAAAATCACTTGTTATTTTTTGCGTTTGTGTTTGCGAATTTTTTACAACGGGAAGATGCCACAAAACCAACGTAAAGTGCCGTACAGTGGCAAAAAGAAAAAGGATCAACTTATCAAAAAACGACGTGCAAAGAGTATATATTACTTATATTCATATTTAGTATAATAGGAAATAATGTAATAAGTAACTTTTTTCCAGTGTCACAGAAGTTTTTGAATGGTGCCAGTGACGGCGAAACTACCGAAGACAATGAACTCACGAGCGGTAAACTTATGGAGCAGCCGCTAAACCGTGGAGGTCGACACAAAAATGTCAATCGTTACAATTTGCAATTCTATCAAGAATCTAAGAAAGAGTTGGAACAGATGAAAGTTGAAGGTTATAATCAACTTGATGGGGTGAAACCAAAAATGCGTGAAATGGATGCACACTATTTTGATGGTTATGACTTTCCAATCAGACCCAACTGGAGTTATGATATGGATAAGAACATTTTGAATCTTAATGAGAATCGTTACTTTAAGGTAATTCAATGGAAATTTATGGAAAAATTTATAATGAAAATTCATTGATAGGAATATGTGGAGAATTTGCAAAAATTCCACAAAGAAGGAAATAACGAACTATCATTGTTTGAATTGAATCTTGAAACCTGGCGTCAGTTGTGGCGTGTTTTAGAGTTTTCGGATATACTTTTAATAATTGTGGATGTACGCTATGCGGTAAAGTAACAATTATATATTTCTTTAAAATTATATATATGACTAATATATAATCTTTGACTTTTAACAGTCCTTAATGTTTCCACCTTCACTTTACAATTATATTGTGCAGACTTTGAAAAAGCATGCAATATTGGTACTCAATAAAGTGGATTTGGTTGAACCGGACGTTGTTGTGGCTTGGCGTCATTATTTTTTAGAAAAGTATCCACAATTACCAGTTGTACTGTTTGCTTCATATTCGAACACCTCCATGAAAGGTAAAAACGTAACCAAATAAACAATTTTCTAGCGTATGAAAGATTTAGCACTAAACCAAATTGGTTTCTTATGTTTCTTACAAACCCAATTAAAAATCGTTCATCATCTAGAATGTTTTATAAAATACTATAGGTTCCAAGAACGGTCGGATCTACGTCCCGGAGCCATTCGTCATTTTTGACAACCAAGTGTCGACAACCATACTCAAAAAGGGACTACATAAGCTTTTCCCTGCGAGTTACAACAAACAACATAAAACACTATATATTATATATATAATGTATAACAAATGTAAAACATAGTTTATAGAGAAAGAGGTGAAGTGATGATAAAAATTTTATAAAAACATTTGTACAAATATTCTTAGTAATTTTATCTTTTGTTTTGTATATAAAAATTAATGCATTATGTTTGTTATATATAAATTTATTTACTATTTTTATAATTATTTCAGGTTCCGCTCGTCGTTCTGTTTGTTATAAATTGTGCATGGAAGGAGTATATAATATATATAAAGAATGTCAAAAAATTGTAAATTCAGAGCTAGATCTTACATCATGGGAGCAAAAAATTGAGGAAGATATGGATACTGGCAATTTAATTGATGATAAAATGATCGTACAGACAATTGAAACTACTGAAGAAATAAGTGATGATTCAGTTTCTAAACCTTATCAAAAATTTTCGAATGGAAAATTGACTGTGGGCTGTATTGGTTTTCCGAATGTGGGAAAATCATCATTGATAAATGCGCTTAAAGGCAAAAAAGTTGTTAGCGTTAGTCGTACACCGGGTCATACAAAGCACTTTCAAACAATTTATTTGACGAATGTAGTAGTTTTATGTGATTGTCCTGGTCTAGTTTTTCCATCAGCTACACCAAAACATTTGCAAGTACTACTTGGTAGCTATCCAATTTCACAGCTACAAGTACCCTATCGATCGCTTAAGTTTTTGGGTGAGCATTTACATATTCCAAACTTATTAAAACTGCATTTACCAGAGGATTTCGACGTTTGGTCACCTGCTGCTTTAGCAGATGCATGGGCATTAAAACGTGGTTTCCTGACCGCAAAAGCTGCACGACCAGATCGTTATCGTGCAGCAAATCATTTATTGCGCATGTGTCTCGCTGGACAAAATAACATTATACTACAATTTTATCCACCTGGTTATAACGACGCAAAAGGTAATTCATATTATATTATACATATAATTTAGTTGTAAGTATAATTTAATTAAAATATAATTTAGTTAAAGTATATAATATGTTAGTGTTGTAAGTCAGTTAATTAGATATGTAGGTGAATTTATTTTAATTTGACTTATTTTATTAAGAAAGAATATTATATATTGTGGAAAATTATTATTATATTGAGGCTAGTTGGGTCAGTACACTTGAGCACATTTGCTCTCTAGTAACGGCGAAGATTCTTCATAACCTCCCTCTACGCCGTGACTGGATTATTGTTTATCACTTCATCAGACTAAGCAATAATTGACCACAGTTATTGTGGTTCTGAATTCTAATTCTGAGATTCGATAACGCAGTGTTAGTAAGCCTGTCAGTTTTCGCAAATAATTTCAGAGCTCTATCCTTTACGTATTTTTTGATCGAATCAATCTTGAGGTCCCTGAGGTTGTCATTCGTCCTAATGTACCATAGTAATTTGAAAATGCTTCTCAGATTCTGGCTTTGTGCAATTTCTAGCTGGCGAATAGTAGTGTTTGAGGCTTTCCTACACATACATGTAAAAGTGACGGGTATATTAATATAACAAATATTATAGATAATAATAGATATTGCATTACTTATGTAACTATTAATGCAAAAAAAAATTCCAAAGACATGTGTAGATAAAGAAGACTCCACCTTCATGATTGTTTATTTTATATTTGTGTCTTTTGAATGTGACTGTGACTGTTTAAAACAGTCATTATTTATCTAACAATTTCTAACAACAACTGAATAGTTCGCTTGTGTATATGTAAACTTTAAACATTAGTTTGAATTGTTTATAACATCTGCATATATACTTTTACCTCATATATAATATATAGTTTTTTATAAATACAATAACGCACAATGATTTAGTAGAAAAAGTGATTAATGTTATCTTTCAAGCTTTTGTTCTTAAGCCTTTATATTTTTACTATGCCAATTGCGTAAATATTTTTTGTATATTTAAAATGTACCAATTACATGTTGGTACAGATAGCATTTCTTCTTTATGCCCTGCTTAATTCTTAGTATAAAGTATAAGATAGATTCCGGAACACATTGGCGTACGCGGAAACAAATACGCGAACAAACTAGCCAGGAAAGGAGCAGCCACACCTATGATGGGGCCGAAATCTTTTTGTGGACTAGGAAATAGTACGCTCTCTTCTCTCATAATAATAAAGGTGAACCCGAATAAAAACGATTAAATATACCAGGGGAAATATACCAGGATTAAAACAATCTTAACATATAACAATAAGAGATACCAGGACTGTATGAACCTATCAAATGAAAAACTTAAAATCATCACAGGAATTCTAACAGGGCACTGTAGACTAAAACACCACCTTACAAAACTGGGTATACTTACAGATGAAAACTGTAGATTCTGTGAAGAAAATAAGAAGTCACATGTGCTTTTGGAATGTCCTACGCTATTGCAATTACGAAATAGGTTCCTATGGTTATGTATATATTGTGACTCTTAAAGCCCTTTGCATAATCTTACAGTTTAGACTTAAAAGGATTAAAAAACATAAAGGAATATGTGAGAGATATTCTGTGAGATATCTGATATCTGTGAGAGATATTGCTTTAAGCCCACTGATAAAAGTTTAAGCAAAGTCATAAAACAAAATTTCATTCAGGACTGTTTCAAGCGGCTTCTACAGCTATTTTTCATTGAGGCCAACGTTTGATTGAAACGTTATCTCACGAAAGAATGTGGTAGTACTGTGATATATTCAAAAGAAAACCATGCTGATAAAATGCAAGATGAATATATAGTAATATCTCCTTAAAAATGATATACTTCAGAACTTTGTCTATTAGAAATAGCAGCGAGACTAAACTATACGATTGCTGTAGTCTCTTTTGAAACTACAGTTGAACCTTAACTGCTGCTTTACCTTCCATAATTTCGCCCACTTATATTAATGTTTATATATATATTCTTTTATTAATTTATTTATGTATATATTATTTTATTAATTTATTTATGTATATATTATATTATTAATTTATTTATGTATATATAATTTTATTAAAGTATTTATATATTTTTTATTTTATAAATTTATTTATATGTATACTTTGTTAATGTATATATTATTTCATTTATTTATATGTATTTTCTTTTTTTTTTAATTTATATATTCTTCTATTTATTTATGTGTATATTCTATTTAATATAAAAAATATAAGAAAATTAAATAAATTATTAATTAATAAATAAAAATTAATTAAGAATAATGTACTATTTTATAATATATATATATATATTAATTTATTTATTTTATTTATGTATCATTCTATTTATTTATTTATATATTTTTTATTCATTTTTATATTCTTTCATTTATTTGTTTTTATATTTATTTATTTATATACTATTTTATTTAATTTATATATACTATTTTATTTGTTTGCTTATATATTATTTTATTTACTTGTTTTGTATTCTTATTTATGTGTTCTATTTATTTATGTATTCCATTAATTTTATTTTATATATCTTTATTTATTTTTATGTTGCTTTGTTTTTTTTATATTTTTTTATTTATTTATGTATATTCTCTTATTTATTCATTATTCTTTTTATTTAAT